AGATAAAGCTTTAGTGTTCAAATCCCCTAACTAAATTTTTGTCAAAAGTTAACTTTATATAAAGTTTATGAGGCTTATACATGATTCACACTTTTAGCCTGGTGGATCTATGAGTGAGGAAGTGTGTTTTGAATATAAATAATTAATCGAGCTCTTCCTTATCATTGTAAATTTTTTTGATAACTGATTCATTTTATTATTTAATGACGAGTACCTATAATCTTGCCAGAGTTAAAGAGAGATGATTAGATAGAAATCAAGAACTAGCTAGTTGAGAAAGGATGATTAACTCCAAGTTCTTCCCTTAGAGGAGAAATGATTATCGATGGTTGTCAAAGATAATTGGGATAATTTCAATCCCCATAGGCATACAAGTTTTATGTTAGTGTAAAAGATGAAAAAATTGAAAAAAAAAAAGAGGTAGCAAAAGGTAAGGTTAAGAACATGAGTGAGAGGATAAATGAGGCTTCTTTAAGCTCTGATTATTTAATGATTCAATTGCAGATTACATCGATGCTTTGGTAGACCAAAGAAACATTAGAGCCGAGAAAATAGAATTACAGAGATTGTTAAGTTAACAAGAAAGTGTATGGAGACAAAATCAAGACTCTAGTGGCTCAAAGAATATAACAAGAATATGAAAAATTTCCATCAGGCCATTAAAAAGAAAGAGCAAAAATGCGATAACTTTCTTAAGGAGGGAAATGATGGCTTTGTGGATCCTCAAGAGATTAAGGTAAAGATAGAGAGATTCTTTAGAAATCCACTTTAGGAAAAGATTGATAATCTCATGTTGGCTAGAGGTTTTAGACTTCTATCACATTTATGAGGCTTAAGCTGTATTATTATAAGCTCTTTTTTTTTTTAGTAAGAGGTGTGGTAAGCAATTTGTGATTGTGATTGGGATAAAACTCCAGAATCAGATGAATTTAATACGAATTTAGTAGAAACATCTAGTTGACTATAAAAAAAGGAGTTTATGAATTTTTTGAGGGAACTTCATGAGTTTGAGGTTTTTATCAAACTACTTAATAACTCACTAATTTCACAAATCCAAAAGTTTGATAGAATAATAGATCTTCATGATTTTAAGCCAATTTTGTTAGTGGGTTGCTCATATAATATTCTTATAAAGTTTTGGTGAAGAGACAAAAAGGTGTTATAAACAAGATAATGAAAATTTTTATTTCAATGGCAAAGAAGTTGGAGGGTATGTTTAGAAGATTTTTATGGAATATATTGGGAGAAACAAAAAAAAATCCATTACATGAATGAGAAGAAAATATGCCTGAGTAAAAAAGATGGACGATTGGTAGTGGAAAACCTTAAGGTTATGGACAAGGCTCTTCTTTTTCAAATAGATTTGGAGGTTTGAGATTGAGAACAACTTGTAATGAAAGAAAGTGATCACTGATGTTCAAAATACTCCCCAGTATTATTAACATTGTCTTCTAAATTGATTCAGAGTCAAGGTTTAAACATTTAGAAGGGAATAATCAAGAAGGTATATAGATGGATGACACAAGGGAACTAATGGTAGGGTTGTTAATAACAGTGCGGGATGTTTCCAAGATTAGGTTCTAGGATGATGTTTGAACATGTGATACTCACTGAGAGTCATTTTCTGAGAATTTGTTCATTAAAAAAAAAAAAAAAACTTGTTGGTGCGTGAAGGTGTATCATAAGAGAAATGAGAGGTGTATAAGGAACTATTTCATCAATTTCTTTTAAACTAATATTTCCATTATAGATTGAGAATGTTAAGAGCATTTATAGTTTCATTTGAGGATTACTAGAGTACAACCTTATAGAAATGTTTTATCAACAAATGTAGTAAAGGGGAGAATCCTTGCAGATATTTGCTTTGTCTATTCATTATGTATCGTCTTTTTGGTTTTTTTCTTTGTATACAAGCAAGTTTCATTTGCTATAGTTCTATGTTTTTATTTATTTTATATTTATAATATCGTGATGTGATTACTCTTAATATATAATAATACTATTATGTAAGAAATTGTGTCACATCCTCATAAAAATGTTTCATCAACAAATGGATCAAAGGGGAGAATCCTTGCATACAATTGCTTTGTCAATGCATTATGTATAGTCTTTTTTTTTTTTTTTTTGTATACAACCTAGTTTCGTTTGCTCTAGTTTTTTGTTTTCATTTATTTCAGATTTGTAATATCCTAACTGTAATTTCATTTATTTCAGCTTCATTTACTTTAAATAATAAAGTTTATATTATTTTTTTTTTAAAAAAAATTATGTATAAAAATGCAAGCATGTCTTTCAAGTATACTCTTTTTTTTTTTTTTTTTTTAA